TTTCCTTGGGGGGGGGGGGGGTTAAGCAATGTGCATGAAGCTGACCACTCACCTCCATTTAGTACAAAGATTAAGAATGGTAGATTGATATCTCTGCTCCCTCAGACATCTTAATGGTGTTATGTTTAAGACCAAAAATAATTTTACCTTTTTAAACTTCAAAAGTACCCATATTTCTTAACTTCAATTTGTAATTTGTCATTTTCAGTAAAATTCTTATATTCTATTCACCATTTTGTTTCCTCATTCTTGCATGTCATTTCTGCAGACTGTAAAGTTCCTTTTAATGTTTCTTTACAACTGCAACATATTGTCTAAGAATTCCTTTATATGCTATAATACTATACGTCGTATCTTAATATTTTTTGGGGAGCATCCTGTTGCATTAGTTCATGGCTATAGGTATATAAATTCATAACTTAAAATTATGTGTTATGTAACATGTGATACTGTTGTTTTTCCTTCTGCTTCATTTTTTGTAGCACTGTATATTTTGTGGATGGTATCTTGGTTACAGGTGCTGTACTAGTGTGTCGTTAATTTTCATGATTTGACATGCTTCCCAAGCATGTGTTAATTTACATTTTTATTTATATAGATTAATCATCCTATACACTAGATTTGTGAAACCCTTATCAAAAGGAGTTTGACTGTGTTAACCACAACATACTCCTGGCAAAAATGGAATTCTATGGAATCTCGGGCATGATAAGTAAGTTAATTAGATCATACTTACAAAATAGATATCAGAGAGTATCAATGCAAGACATCAAACTTAATAAAGTGTCTTCAGAATGGGAACTAGTTAAATATGGAGTTCCACAAGGGGCCTTTATTGTTCCTTATTTACATAAATGATTTCCCATTATCCGTTAAGAAAATAGGTAATCCAATATTATTTGCTGATGATACAAGTATTATATCAAACACGAATCCTGAAGAATTTAAAAATAATATCAAATTAGTTCTGAACGAAACAATTATGTGGTTTAATAGTAAGTTTCTAACATTAAATTGTGATAAATCACACCTTATACAATTCTTTCTAAAAAAGCACAGGGAAATAGAATTGCAAATAATATCTAATAATTCAATTATTACAAATATCACTTGTACTAAATTCTTGGGAATAAATGTTGATAGTACCTTATCTTGGAAGAACCATATTACGGATTTATCATCATGGTTAAATACGGCTTGTTATGCAATAAGGGCAATAAAGCCATTTATGTCACCAGAATCAATGATGATTATCTATTATTCCTATGTACATTCCTTATTGTCATTTGGGGTAATGCCCCTCATAATGAGTATCTTCAAAATTAAAAAATAATAATAAGCAACACAGCACGCATATAAACTACACCAGTAATAACAAGAACACATCACCAAAAGGGATAGACGACAATTCCACTATCAAGGAAGATCAAACACAATCCATACTGGTTCACGAACAAATTTCTTAACTTAAAAATAAATTTTTACACACACTCTAACATAATCTTAACGTAAAGGAAGGCTGCTGTGGTGAAACAAATTGAAATTTATATACAGTGTAGTGGAAAATTACATCCTTTATGGGAGTGATTGCAACTACGTCACTTCTAAGTAATATACTTTAAGAATGTTATTATAAAAGTTTACGTCAAACATATATTTTGACAATGGAAAAATAAACAACTACATATAGTGGCCATCATCATGTTTTAAGTGTATATAGTCTTATAAAAACATTTATGTATTGGTGGGTTCCTGATTGTAGTAGTATACCTCCGATGATGATTCATTAAGAATCGAAACATGTTAGGTAACTAAGTGCTGAAGTGGTGAAAGCATTAAATGTCACATTGGACTGAAATAAACTTAATTGTAAATAAGTTATATCTGATAATGTTATATTTTAGCGTTCTGTTGCGCTGATTTAAGTCCATGATTTATTTCAACCGTCTTCCATTATGCACTGGAAGACGGTTGAAATAAATCATGAAGTTATATCTGATTCAGGTAGACTGGATTCATGTCGCGGATTGTTTAAAAAATTACAAATATTGCCACTTCAGTCTCAGTATATTTTCTCCTTGCTTCTTTTTGTTGTTAAGAACAAATTATTTTATAGCTAATACTGATATTCATGATATCAACACATGTTATAATCACAATTTATATTTACCTTCTACAAATCTATCAATAGTTTATAAAGGATTACTTTTCTCGGGTAGCAAGATTTATAACCACTTACCCTCAAACATTAAATTGCTATCCAGAGATATTAAAGAATTCAAATTTTTATTAAAAACCTATCTTGCTGAACATGCTTTTTATAGTATTGATGAATATTATATCTCAACTTCTCAATAACACTTTGTCTAGATTGTCTCTCCTATGGATACTATAATTCCATCAAATCTCCACAGGCATTACCACCAGTAAAGGTACAATAGGACATATGGAGGATTTAAGACCACAGAAACTGTTTTCAAGACTAATTATACTGTCATATTATTATCTCTGTATTACTATATTATTATTATTATTTATAATTTGGCATACTATTTCTGTATTATTGTATTCTTATTACTATTTAGTATTAGTATTAATATTAATCTTTGACTTGTCCCATATCATGTATAATGATTCATGGATGAAATAAAATTGAATTGAATTACACAGCTTATTCATATGTATCTACTACAACTGTATCAGTGTTTGTATTGTATAGGACTGCACTAATTTATAGTGGTTCTTAGTGTTTTCATTTGTCCTTGTATGGGTTAGGAATGTATATTTTATTATCTTATGTTCAAACATTGTTATGTATGTATATTTTATTATTTTATGTTTAAACATTACAGATTCTATATCCAATAGGTTGGTTTGACCTTATATGGATTGACAGAATGCAATAAATAAATAAAAGTAAAGTAAACTAGCTGACCATCAAATCTAGCTGTTAACTGTGATTGATGCTGAAATACAATTGTATTTAATGCAAAAGCATGATTCAAATTAATAGTTTAATACACATGTACATGTTCAAGAACATAACACATACCATAATATTTAGTAAATGAGCATACAATGACCAAACTTGTGTGTGTAGCTGTATGAAGTTTTTTAAAGTGCTCTTTGCTCACTACCTGCCATTTGCCCCTGGCCTTTGCTGACTTCACTGATACATATCCACTGGCCTTCGTTGTTCTCTCGCCAAAGGCTCACTTTGTTATCACCACCAGAAACTGCCAAGATATTTCCAGTGAGTGACCAGCTCACATTCCAAACTACATCATCAAATGTATGTAGTACCGTTGGTGTCCAGGTACTATCATCACTTGTCCATATGATAACACGTCTGTCCTGAGAACAACTAGCAATGATGCTACGTGGCAAACCAATTGATGGAGCCCAGGCCACATCACGTACCCAATCTGAATGGACTTCCAACTTGGCCTCTTCAATCCAACGCTCTCCCTCCTCCTTCCAGATCTTTACCAAATTGTCACATCCACCTGTTACAAGCCTCTTGACTATAATGGGTGATCTAGCAGCAACAGAAGCATCAAAAGCTGGATTAGGCGATGTGGCGGGGCACCAGCTAACAGCATTACATCCAATTGTGTGTGCATTGGGAATTTTTTTTGCTTCCCAATTTCCAGTGTCAGGATTACTGGAAAGAATGGACAGGGATCCATCAGAACTTCCGCATGCCAGCATGAGGCCAAAATCATGTGGGGCCCATGCCACCGAATTCACCGAGGAATCATGACTGCTATATTCATACAATTTAACCCACTCTCCTACTTCTTTCCAGATTATCACCCTTCTATCATAGGAGCACGAAGCTAACAAATTTCCGAATTTTGGATGTGCCCAAGCTACTTGCCAAACTGGTCCATAGTGTCCTTTCAAGTCTGCTGTCAACGTTTGTGTTCCATTTTTGATGTCGTAAATTTTCACCGAGTGATCTGATGAGCATGTTGCCAAGCGAAGACCATAATAATCCATTTCAGCATCATGAATCATGTCTTCGTGTCCTGTATCGACAGTGTTTAGCAGAGACACCATCTTAATTGTTTACGTACGACAAAATATATACTCCGTTCACACGTCTTCACTCACCCCAAAAATCGCTAACACCTAGCACTAACGACTCCCGCTGCCAACGTGGAAAAAGTTGCGTACGTTTCGAACCGAGAACAAAATTTCTCTTCCCTCAAGAGAGTAGCATAAATAAATATCTAAAATATGAAACTAATAGAGAAACATAACACATGGTTATTATTGAATTTATTCTTGTTTATTGACTGACGATACTGATTTAAACAGATTGATATTTATTGATATATATATTACTTTCTAGGTAATCCGTACTCATAGGTATCTTTCTTGGAGAACTATTGGCCATCATGGAAACACCATCATGCAGCATAACGAATGATAGGCTACGTATATCACGTGGTACCATTGGAGAGACTTTATTGGCATGTTTTCGTGATCCTTTCGCGGGCTTGTGTGATGTGTGTAGAAAATAGGTAGATCGAGGTAGATGGTATGTGATTATTGTCGGATTGAATTCGCATAAAATGGTTCTTCAGAATAGTGGTAAATATAGGTCAGAAAAGAAAGAGGCTTCGAAAGGGTTTATAGGATCCAGGTAAGGCTCGTATTTGTCGTTAGCATAAGTAATGCCGAGGCTACATTCTCAGGCACACGAAGCCTCTAAGGTGGGTACTGAGAGAAAAAGCGGCTGGGGCATGAAGCTTTCCACTCACCTTCATCTAGTGCCGGGGTCGGGAATGGTAGAGCTATACCTCAGTTTTCCCAAACGTCTGCATGGTGGGCCTTCATTAATTAAGCACAAGTATAGTAGTAACCCTCGAAGCTCAGTTCCCTGTCAGAGAACATTAAGAAGAACAAATTCAAAAGAACGTAGCAATAAATGATTGTTTTACCTTTACACTGCGGTAAATAGGGTAACTGGATGCTGTATTTTGTTCCTATCGTCTAGTAATCATACAGAATCCCCGAATTCGATAACATAACGCGGGATGTTAGTACATATACTGAGGGCTAGTAACNTTTTTATAAAAACTGACTTGTCCAATTGTACATAATGTAACAGTTATGGATGTTAAATAAATCAATCAATCAAATGGTTATATGTTGTCACTGTGTTGTAAAGTTCTTCTAATTGATTAGTGCCCTGTGCATTAAATTCAGACTACAGATAGAAGTATCAATTCTGCCTTTGTACCACATCTCGGTCGTTGGATCACTCGATCACTTCACACCACCATTTTAAAAAGGAAATACTAATGTAATCTAGTATGCTTACCCTATAAATTTGTTGTGACAGACCTGTAGCCTAATCAGCATTAGAATTGAACAGAATTAAGTCAGACTGATTTGTGTTAGATTTAATAATCTGAAATAAAACCCAAAGCCAGTGACAGATTATGGAGTTGGGGTGGTTAGAACAGTTTATCTTGGCCTAGTAAATAATTCAGTTCCCAAATTAGTGACTACTATGTGGCTACCATATAGTAAAGTTCCTTCCATTAACTGACAAAGTAATAAGTGGAAATTAAACTGCTGTAGGTATACTTCATGATCTTAACTCCATTGTCGTCCATCACATTAGTAAACTAAATTATAGAATAATAACTGTCAGCACCATCCAGTGTGACTCAACTTGCAGTAATTCACCGCCCCTAAATTGTTCAGTCAGCTGACCTTCAGAAGGCATAAGATCAACAAGTTCAGTAACTACTATTACAAATTTTTTAATACATACTTAGAAGTTGTTATATAAACAATGTGAAGACTTCTGATAACTCTGAATAACACCCTAGTATTCAGTTTTAACAGAAGAGGCATAAGGACACAAACCACATCGGTTCAAGATCTTATACATTAAACATTAATAAGATTTTAATCCAAATAATTGTAAATAACTTTTATGTAAACACTTCGAAGTATGTATTATGAAATTTGTAAGAGTAGTTTCTGAACATGTTGAGCTTATGCCTTCTGAAGAGGGTCAGCTGACCGAAGCATGTAGGGGTGGTGAATGCAAGTTGAGTCACACTGAATGGTGCTGAAAGTTTTTATTCTATAATATACTTAATAATATATAGAATTTAAAATTTTTCATTTTCATGCCAAAATGAAACAAACTGAAGAAACCACGCAATTATATTCCAGAGAAGAGACATCAGAACTTCGACTTCGAGAATCACTTGAAAGTGATGCCATTGATTCAAAATATGGATTTGAGAGGGTAGCAGATCATCTTGAACGGACTGGATTTCTTATTAACATGCATACTGTATGTATTGAATGATTAATTATATATTGCATCTTCAGTAAGTAGTTACTTGTAGTGAGTCTGTGACATAACTTAGCAGGTGGAGTCCCTCCCTTGTCCCACTGACTGTTGTACATTTACTGTAAATCTCATCATGAATCACTGGGTAATCACTTTTACTTGAAGATGCAGGTAGTAAGGATGTCAGAAGCACTCACAGTATAGTCAACATCCACATGGTGCAGTCACCCCAAAAGATCCATGAGAGCCTGGAATCATTTAGTGTATGGGATACATAACTACATTTGAAATGCAAAACTTCACATCAGAAATTTTATAATTTTTTTTTTCAGTGATACAGTATGTTGAAACGCATAATTGCCCTCATCTTTTGGCTTCATTAGTCTCTTAAGAGCTTGAGAGTTTGCATAAATTTTCTGAACTATTTTGAATAAAAATTGTTTAAACATTTTGATGCAAGATGGAGTTTTCTGAAGTTATTCTTTTAATTTTGGACCAAACCAGATCCAACATTAAATAGGTATATTCCATATTCTTCTCACTGGAATATTGTTTGTTCTCATTCTCAGTTTGATGCTCCTTTCCAGAAATACCAAATTGAAGTCATACTTAACCCCAATAATTTGTAATATATATTTGATAAATGTTTTGCAAAATTTATATTAGTACTTCAATAGCTTTATTGGTGACTGAATTCATTTTATGCTTTGTCGTAATTCTACAGTTTACTAGTTCTGTAACATTCAATTTTTTCTGTAATAAATGAACCTTTATGCTAACAAATTATGTGAAATCACAAAGAACCAATAGGTAATATGTGTAGTCCAAATTGGAGTATACCTTTCCATTTTTGTGAAGTGTGTGATTATTGAAATATAAAAGGTAAGGTAAAGTTGTCCCTGTGCTTAGCTACTTAAGCACTATGCCATGAAAGCATATGGGGTAGTGGATATGTAGATCCACATTTTTTATTATTGAAATATAGAAATGGTATTTTATTTTGTAGACAGAAATACTGGATGAAGACAAGCGACTTGTCAGTGCTGTGGACTACTACTTCATCCAGGAGGATGGCAGCAGATTCAAAGTGTCATATCCTCGTATGCCATATTTCTACATCCTTACCAGGAAAGATTGTATTCAAGAAGTGTCAGCATTCCTCACAAAGAAATTTAGTGGCTCACTAGCTAGGGTGGAAGTGGTCACAAAAGAAGATTTGGATTTGGTATGTTACCTCATATGCGAATACATGTCTGTTGTAGAATACTAGCATTGGAGTGCAAAAAAGTCTGCACAATAATTTTAGAAACTCTTTTTGTCATTCGTGGTAGTTACCTATGTTACAAAATTTGTCAGGTGATAATCATTTATTTCTTCCTTACCATCTCTTCCATCACTTGTGTTCCATTCTATCATCATTCTCCTTTCCCCTCCCTCCTTTTCAGATTAGAACAATCTCTCACATCAAGTCTTCCATACCTTCATCTTCATCCATATTTTACAGTATTCCTTTATCATTCCAGTTAAATGTTTATCATTCACTCTCCCCCTTACATACCATAGCAGGAGACAAGATTTTTCCCCATATTCTGATAATGGCAGAAGATAGTTAATGTTTTGTGCTGTATTGTAGCAAGAGCAGCAGATAATTTGATTTTTTGCCCTTATCCTCATAATGACAGAATTAGATTCTCTCCAGTATCCTAGGAATAATCCGGGTGTTGTCACAATCTCAGTGTCTTCCTTACAGAGGAAATAATATGGAAATAAATTAGCTTGGACTCTAATTCATGTATGTGGTAGCAGAATTAGCAATATACATGTAATTGTGATAATATGAATGTATATGTACCGTATTACTTCAAATATAAGACTTCCTCAAATTTAAAATACATCCAATTTTTAAATAAGGGTTTTAGGAAAAAATTAGAAAGGTTATTAACTTCACTGAGCTTATTTAGAACACATGAGTTAAAATAACAATATTTAGAACACATTTAAAGTGAAAAGTAATGGAAAATATACCAGAATGAAATGGAAATTTAAAATTTTCGCTACATGCATATTTCTTTGTATTTTTTTTATTTAATCAGAAATTCATCTATCATTCAGTTGCACTTTCAGTTTCTGAAGATGATGTATCCTTGAAAATTTGGTCACCGTTGCCTCAAAGAATGTCATCTTGTGTTCCATCTTCCGCATTAGACAAACAGCAGCTTAAAAACGATTTTGTAATAATATTGACTACACTCCTTTCCAAGCTTTTGATATCCGCTCCTGTATTATTGACCCTGATGCTTTTTTTTATTTTTCCACTAACTGTCAATATATTGTGACATGCTGAGCTATGGATGACGCCCCTCCCCCACCCCCCGCCAGCCGTGATGCGCCGAGTGAAGCCGAAGCGAGCTGATGTTAGCCGAGTCCTAGCATCCTGGTCGCTAGGCAACGCAAGTCAACAGCGGTGACGTCACCAAGTAGTAACAGCGGTTACTTCCGCTAGTGTTACTAGCAACACAGCGCCAGGCAACAAGGGTGCATATTACGTGGCCGGATTCTGTATTGTCCGATCGAGGCTACATAAGGAGCAGCGAAGGCTATTCACAGTTAGTTTACTGTGACAGTCGCCGAGTGTGTTATCAACAGTTCTCAAGGCAGCATCTTGGAATCTAGCCAGCGGCGTGTTACGAGTGAAAGTGTGTAATTCAGGGAGACTTGTATAGCTCCCGCGTTATTAGTACGTGAAGACAAGTGAANCAGCTTAAAAACGATTTTGTAATAATATTGACTACACTCCTTTCCAAGCTTTTGATATCCACTCCTGTATTATTGACCCTGATGCTTTTTTTTATTTTTCCACTATCTGTCAATATATGATTGTCTATACACAGCCAGGCATCATATTATTTATGGACGAGGTGCTTGAATGGGTTGTTAATTGACACATCAAGTGACTGTAATTGACTTGTCATGCCACTAGGAATTCTTACTAGATTGGTGTTTTTGTGTTTTGACCAATTTTATTTTGTTGGAGAGATGGTCACAAAATGCATACATTGCAAGCATACTCCATGGCACCAGACTGATGTTCCCATACACATCCAAAACTTAACATCATAACATTATAAATTTTTGCACCATCAGCAACTAGTCTTGAAAGTTATATTACTGTTTCTGGCACATTCTTTTGCTTTTGACAAGCTTCCCTAGTTATGGGTAATCCCTTATTTCATAAAGCTTTGAAATGCAGCTAGGTTGCTGTTGATGCAAGTTTAAACTTAACGTTTCGAAGAAAGAAAAAACAACCTGAATTTAAACTGCTCTGTGACTTTGTTAACAATAAATTTAACTTATAATATATTTTTTTGTCATTTACTGTAATATTTCATTAATAAAGATATAAAAACTTATGTTTAAAAATTTTCATTGCCTATTTCTGTGGAGCTGGAACCAATTACCATATTTTACATTGAATAGTGAAAATGTGAATAATGCAATCACTTCATGGGATTCATTATCCCCACTGATGAAGACTTACCTGTACTCTAAAACAGAGGCATTAATCTCAGGATTTCTCCCTTACCTTGGTCCAGAAAAAACGCATGCTATTTGTGAGACATGAAAACAGTTTTGTTTTTATACTTTGCCAATTGCGTATACATGCCTCATTTACTGTATACCTTCTACCAGCTTCATGATTACTTTTCAGTGCACAGCATTACTTTTCTTTTGAATGCGGAATCACATGTAAAATGCTTTTGCATGGGTAAAACATAGTGGAATACTGAACACACCAGAACAGTAAGACTGTTTGGCAATAAGTGAACTGAAAGTTAGTGGTTGACTTGCAGTTAAGGGGGGTGGGGGGGATGATGTGGCTTGATGACTCACTCTGAATGTGTTTATGTTAGGTTCTTTCCAGGCTATCCCTTGGACAGTTTGCAAACTGATGAATAATTGCTTGAAATTAACACTTTGCGGACCGCGTGCCCTTTAAAAGGTTTTTCGCTTTTAAACATGGCGGACCGTTCGCGTGTTAAGAGGCTTTTAGAACACGATAAGTTTCAACACACTATACGTCGCTCTATACTGTACGATCACAAAGACCTAGGAAATCACCTCCTGCAGTTATGCCCTAAAGTCGTGAAACACCCTGTATATCATTTGCAAAATTGGAATTATAATAGTGTAAAACTGGATCAGAAATATTTACATGATTGTATATTTACAGCCTAATCACCTGATTGGTTTAAAGCAACATTACCTCAGGTTGTCATTTCTCACAATAACGGACCTATTGAAAGTACGCCGAGAGATGAAATCTGCAGTCAGAAAGAATCGTGAACAACAAAAACATAGCAATATTTACACAGAAATGCTTACAACAGCTATTGCTACAAAGGGGGATTCTGGTACTGCTAGGAAGACTGCTGACCAGATGGAGAACATAATTGATATAAGGTATCAGTGAGAGTATATTTTAATTGTACATATTATTTTGGATGTTTGCTCTTAATTTATTTTCTACTGAATATGATTCGTTTCATTCTGGTCCGTCACACTAACAATTACAAAGACAAAACAACTTCGTCCAGTGTGACTATTTAAGTTTTTACTACTTGAATACTTAGCACCCTTACATGTTTCAGTCCTTATGGACCATCATCAGAGGAAACATCGATACTTATTTGGAAACTACTATCACAGTGGGTGTTCTGAGTGCTAAAATACATACACACATAATGCCTGCAATGCACATTATACACAAAATCCAACTTTTCCACAACCACAGCAGCTTTCCTGGTATATTAAAGTTTTTAAAACTTTGTTGTTTAAATTTAAATTTATAAACCAAGTAGGTTCGTGTCCCTTCTCCTATCATCTTTCTTGAAGGGGGCTGAACTTGTGCCGCCTGTCTGTCTTGAGAAGGAGATTCTTGGTATCGTCCTGTGTTTGTTCGTGGCGTGCTGTGTTGTTTTCACATGTAAGGGTGCTAAATTTTCAAGTAGTAAAAACTTAAATAGTCACACTGGACGGAGTTGTTTTGTCTTTGTTATTTTCATTGTTAACACGTTTCAAAAAATTATCACTGTTAGGGATAGAATTTTTTCACGTAGAAGTTGTTACATTAGCATGCTTTTAATATGTCTGAGAATTCTAATGTATCTCATATTCTGTAATGAGGGATGTGTGCAGAATGCTCAGATATCTCCACTGGAAATGATGCATTATTGGATTGATGTGGGAGAACATGGCTGTGCATTAGTATGCAGAAGCTGAACACCTTTCTGAAGAAATCCATAACTTTTCTTTTAATTTCCATGCATAAATGTGTCATTGTTGCACAATAAGTCACTGCATTGATCACATCATGTCTGTGAACAAACACTTTTGTGATCCAACAGTACTGTAACTGTCACTCTGCAAGACAACCTCACAACCCTGAACCATTTTTACAATGGAGAACCAGGGTGTTTCCATTCCATGTTAGCACATTTTGTTTCCACTGTGTGTTAATGAACTCATATCTCATCTCTGACATTATGCTCAAGAAATTCTTGACCACTGACAGAATGGTGTTGTTACAAAAGCATGTGCTGTTTCGTACGGTCTTTAGTGCTGGCGGCACCCAACATGTGCACACCTTTTAAACCTTGAGGCATGAATTATATTGAGTGTTTCATGTTGAAGTCACATTACACTTCACTCATCATGGTCCTGTTGTTTTGGATTGCATGTTTCCCGAGCACACTGTTATCAGTAGTTCTGTCTGATGTGGGTCTGTGACTTCTTTTGCAGTCCTCTATACTGACTCTTGCACCTTGAAATTCCACATACCATTTCTCTGCTGGCTTGTAGCATCTCCACCATAAACTTACACAAGCTGGTGACAGTGTTCTGTCACCAGCACATTTCTTGTATTCAAAAACTGAATTACAGCATGCATTTTGTTTTTGGACCATTTAGCCAGCTGAGTAGCTATGTTCAGTATGTGGTCTTTGTGGCAGGCCTGTCAGCGTGGATTATTACCAGCAGCAGTTAACAAATCCCTCTGACATACCCACACCAAGTGTAGGTCCTTGGCTGCAAGATTATACACTTTGTAAACATAGTAACTTCCCATCTGTATCATTGGAACAATGCGGAAATAGTGTCCAGTATGACCTTGGAGCATGTTGAAGTAAAAACTGAAGAAAACTAATTGATTTATTGCAGATTTCTGTGAACATCTCCAAAACTTGTTTTTGTTTTTTTTTTTTGTTTTTTTTTTTTTTTTTTTTTTTTTTTTTTTTTTTTTTTTTTTTTTTTTTTTTTTTTTTTTTTTTTTTTTTTTTTTTTTTTTTTTTTTTTTTTTTTTTTTTTTTTTTTTTTTTTTTTTTTTTTTTTTTTTTTTTTTTTTTTTTTTTTTTTTTTTTTTTTTTTTTTTTTTTTTTTTTTTTTTTTTTTTTNGGCATGTAGATGCACTTGCTTTCAAATATGTGTGTATTTCTCTATACCGTTTGTTCAGATACACAGTAAATGTGATGTTGGTCACTATATTTATATAATTTGTATGCCATTTGTATTGTATTAATACAGTGAGGGAGGAATATTAAATAAAATTTTATCGAATAGAGGAAAATAAAAGTTATAGTGTGTACTATTTGTTCATGTTATTGTAGTTGGTCGAGGCACTATGCTACAAGCTGGAAGGTCGCTTAATCAAATCCCGATGAGGTGGAATTTTTCAATTTATCTAATCCCTCCAGCCGCACTATGGCCCTGGCATCAACTCAGCCTCTAACAGAAATGAGTACCAGGAATATTCCTGGGGATAAAGGGCAGCAGGCATGTAAGGCTGACAACCTCATCGCCATCTGTAGGCTGATTGTCTAGATTGTCTAGCCTCAACATCTCACAACCCTATGGGCCTCCACGGCCTGTTACAAGGATACCTTTACTTTACTTACTTTTACTATTTCTTCGCTCACTTGTTATAGAGAGTATGATGTGCCTTATCATGTACGAGTGTCCATTGATATGAAGATATTCTGTGGAACATGGTATTCTGTCCGATGCCGAGGGAATGAGGCACCTATTATAACAAAGAGAGAGGATCTTATAGAGCGTCCTGATCCTATTGTCCTGGCATTTGACATAGAAACAACTAAACTACCCCTAAAATTTCCAGATGCTAATACAGATCAGATTATTATGATCTCCTATATGATTGACGGACAGGTAAGTTGCAGCAGTAGATTACACATGTGTATTCTTAATGTAATTCTTATGTATTAAGGGCTGAATTTTATATAAATATGTGAGCGGTTTCTTAATATGTTTGGGTTGAACCTAAGTATTAATGTTTAGATGTTGGCATGAATATCAAGCTATAACCACCTGATGAGGAGCTCACAGGACTGAAATGTGAGAAGTAAAAAATTAAGCATATTAAATGCTTGTGATGGTCAGGGAAATATTTCTTAGTCATACTAACAGTGCAGGTAAACAGATGTTGCTGTTCCTCTTTATGAAATTTCCTCTGTTTCAGGGTTTTTTGATAACAAATCGTGAAATAATTTCTGCTGATATTGAGGATTTTGAGTACACCCCTAAACCTGAATTTGAGGGTGTGTTCACAGTGTTCAATGAACCAGATGAAATGAGCTTACTACAGAGGTTCTTTGAGCACATTCTTGATGTTAAACCCCACATATTTGTTACTTACAATGGTGACTTCTTTGATTGGCCTTTTATTGAGGCACGAGCAGCAGTGCATGATCTGGACATGAAGCAAGAGATTGGGTTTTCTCGGAATAGAGATGGAGTATACGCCTGCAGGTCAGCTATGCACATGGACTGCTTGTGGTAAGTTTGTCTTCCCTCATTGGACATTTACATACTGAAGTGTGAAGGACTGTTATTTGTGCATTTAGATTTCTTCTTTAGGATTTGAGGTTCTCACAGTGGGAGTTATGAAGAGTTCTATCTTTTTGGCATATAAAGCTGTGTAATCCATTGAAAGTCAACCAAAGTTTTGGAGGAAGATATCACCTCAATCTCCATGGTTGAAGAATAAGCCAAGCAAGAAACCAGCATGAAAGCAGGGGGAAAGCAAATAGAGTCAATGTGTTCCTTTGAAATGTCAGTTGACTTTCAACAGAATACACAGCTTTATATTCCAGAAGATATAACTCTAGATTTCTTCTGTCTGCAATTAATCACTTTGTATCTAAAATGGTCAGTTAATTTTTCATTTTGCTATGCAGATAAAAGGTGAAAAGCTATGCTCAGCTCCAGCCTACTTAACCATCACTTATAATACACGACACACAAAATATGCCTATTATCCCTTATATAATTTCTATACAAGACATATTTTATTTTTCAAATTTACTGTTTGACGTGTTTGGAAAAGTCGAGAAAGATAAGATTTTTGCCACTTATCACTCATAGTTTTTCACTTATCATGGATTGGCAGATGTTGAACACTACATATTGAAAACATGTAATGCTCTGCCAGCTGGACCATGCATATGCATTATTACGCAGTACGTGTTACATAAAGCGCTATAGATTTATTTATATTTTTAAAGTAAAAATGGTAAAGTTGTTCCTTTGCTTAAGTAATTAAACACTATGCCATGAAGTTGTATGGGATAGTGCATGTATAGATTCACACATTTTCTTGACCTCAGCACTAGTTGGAGGTGAGTGGTCAGCTTCACGCCCTGGCCGCTTTACCCCCAGGGAAAGAGCCCCCAGTGCTCATTGGATAGGAGGATGGGTGAACACCAGAGCTGGTTTCGACAACATGGAGATGAGAAAATTCTTGACCCTACTGTGACTTGAACTCCAACCCCTTGTTCGTCCAGCCTGCAGCCAGTTGCTATACCGACTACACTATCCTGGCTCCTTTTATTTATATTTTTACATCAAATAACTCTATTCATGTTTAAATGCTTAATCTGTGTTACATTGCAGTTGGGTGAAGCGAGACTCATATCTTCCTGTGGGCTCACAGAACCTGAAAGCTGTAGCAAAGGCTAAATTATGTTATAATCCAGTGGAACTTGATCCTGAAGACATGTGTCGACTAGCATCTGAGCAGCCACAGGTGCTATCAAACTACTCCGTGTCAGATGCAGTTGCCACTTATTATCTTTATATGAAGTATGTTCATCCATTCATCTTTGCTCTTTGTACCATCATCCCTATGGAACCAGATGAGGTAAGTTTTTGAAGTCATTGTGGCTTTATATGTTTTGTTGTCCCCTCACCAACAGTTATTGCTTTGAAGAACAGAACTACACAGTTTTTAAATGGGTACCCAAAGGAATTTTGTGTGGCTAAACATAATATTTCTGTGAGCAAAAAAGGGAAGTAACATTTTGTAGTGAAGTTAAATGGTATTCTATGTAATAAAGTATACAGGAAATTCAAACTTACTCTGACGTATAGGCCCATTGCTAACCAGTGACTCTGTGAATGTCGGCCATTGCTAGGTAATGTCCACAAGATTCACACATGCAACATTAGAAGAATGGCGTTTTTTATGTAGTCCACACCACAACTATTGCTTTGCAGCAATGAGTTAATACACATCTACAACAATAGAGGTTGTGTTTTCCGTATGGTCTGTGCAAAGGAGTTATCTTAGAAACAAATGTCGCTACGATTCAGTTCTGAGTTCTGAGTTCCCGGTAGGAATCAGCCATGAAAAGTTTGTCAGCCTGTGAAGATTTAAAGTGTGATTTGAAGACTTTATGTATGCTGTAGCTCAGTGACATTTGGAGTGCATAGTTAAAGTGAGACTCTTAAAATCCGTTGCCAGAATACAACTATTGAAGACTGAAATCCGTAGTGTGTAACAATGAACTGTATAATATGTCGATCAACGATCGCACTGTAGTAAATGTGATTAAAGAGAAATTGTGAACCAAGTGCTAATAAATCCGATCATCTGAACTAGAACCCATCATTTTCGTTGTGCATACCACCCTACACGTGGCATTATTTTTTGAACAGTACAATGAAAATTTATTAACATCTTGGCTTATATATACAGTTTTAATTATATTGTCGCGTGTTTCTAGGCAACACGACAAGAAATTTTGTGGGTCTCGGATTTGAACAAATATTTATTGGACAGTCACTCTTTACACTCACACAATTGTTCACACTTGTAATGTCTTCTGACGTTTCTTCTTCAGTGTTACCACACTCTTGCACCACTAATCTCAGTGAAGTGTGTTTTGCTCTGAGCTCAACTGTCCTTAGCTCTTGTTAGATATGAACCCTTCTGTTCTAGTCGGAAAAGAACTGTGCTGGTCTCTTGCCGAATATGAAATGTTATATCTTGCACTCAGACTGAATAGGGAACACCTTGCCAAAGGGTAAATTTCACCCACTGCTATGCAAATGCTGCTTCAAACAATTTGTTGCTTGGATATTGCTAGCTGTTGTATACCAATGGATGTGTTCTGATTCTTAGCTGTTGTTACGGGAACATTGCTTGTTGCCTAGGAAATCAACCCTGATCTCACTAAACCTTTCTGGCTTTCTGGCGGCATGCCACCATATACTTATGCCTGGTGTATAGAAGCTCTACTTTGAAGTTCAGAGGTTAATATTCAAAACTACATGTCTGTGTAGGTTGGTTGATACTGGGATTGCAGGTTTAGTATATGCCTAATTGTAATTTACGTTACTGTACTGTAATTTTTCTTGTGGTTTATAATTTGAATGCTCTGTTGTAGGTGCTAAGAAAAGGTTCAGGAACCCTTTGTGAAGCCTTGCTCATGGTGGAAGCTTTCCATGCACGGATCATCTTCCCCAATAAACAGGAGTCAGAACTTAACAAGATGACAAGCGATGGGCATGTTCTGGACCAGGAGACATATGTGGGAGGCCATGTTGAAGCTTTGGAATCTGGAGTATTTCGGTCAGACATTCCATGTCGTTTCAGGCTAGTAAGTAAGAAAACTGTATTAGTACACTGTTTTTTTAGACTGTTAAATAACTCAATTTCACAGTGAAAAATTGTAAGGAAAACTTGGTTTTTAACTCCTCTGCATAAAAAAAATTACTGAATTTATGCACTCCCATTCAGGGCAAAATGCAAAACAAGACAAACAAACAAAAAAAACTGAAGTGATGTGAGATGTGTGGAAGAAGTATTTGAGGAGGGAAATTAAAAACAGAAAAATAATTGGACAGGTATCTGATTTTGTTTATTTAGGGAACATGATTTTGGAATTGGAAAATGATACTGATACAGTGAAATGTCATTTTAATGAATGAATGAATTTTTCTTTTAAGTAAATTTAGTGAATAATCATTTGTGGTTTTTCACGATACATGATGTGAATATTTTGTCACTTGTTAGTGACTAGATCGGGGTTGGATTGGTAACTGGATTTATTGAACACTTACAAATCATAACTGCAAGTAATTGTAACAGTATCAGTAATTCACACACTCTACGAATCTCTACAACACACACTATGTCTTCTCACTTTGTCTCCATGTCCCCTCCCACCAAGTGTGTCTGCGCTAATATACCAATAACAAAAATAAAAAAAAAAAACATGAAAGAAATTTTTGACAATGAGAACCACACAGCTGAAAACAAGAAACGTGAACTAACAATTATTAAACACCATCATGGAACAAAACTGCTTACAATTTAATGGCCAATTCTACAAGCAAAACGAAGTCCTAGCAATGGAAGTGCCCACTTCAGCAATCTTGGCTAAAACATTCATATGATACTTAGAACACATAAAAATCATCAAAATTTTAAATGAATATCACATCATCGACTATCACAGATATGTAGACAACATATTAATTATATACAATATGCATACCACAGACATAGAGAACGCCTTAAAGGAATTCAGTGCAATACACCAAAAAATAAAATTTACTATCAAAAAAACGAACATGCTATAAAATAAGTTACTAGAAGACAAACACAACCAATTAGCATTTGGTATATACCAGAAACCCACCACATCTGGCCTAATTATACATAATAACTCATGTCACCCATATGAACACAAATCCACCATAAACCACATAATTAATCAAATGAACACTTACCCAATTACTCATGAAGATGAGGACCAAGGATTAAAAACCATACAAGAAATATTAAAAAACAACCAATATCATCAACAAATAATATACTCAAAACAGAAACACAACCTTTCTACTCACAGGGGACATAAAAATCAAAATTAGCCACCTTCACATGTTATGGCCCTGATATGAGAACAATCACAAAGCTATTCAAGAACACAGACATAAAATTAGTATTCAAAACTACTAATATGATAAAAAACCACCTAAAACCAAGAGAGAAAACAATAGACACATATAATCAAAGTAGAGTTTACCAATTAAAATGTAATGAATGTCCACTATTATTGCTAGTGGGGTGGGACTAAGTCCTTTTACTGCGGCCACTTCTGGCCTATTGTACCGGCCCCAGATGACAGGTGAGGGTGATTGTGGAGCAATTGGTGGAATGAAGATTGGCAGGGGAAACCGAAGTGCTCGGAGGAAACCTGCCCCAGTGCCACTTTGTCCACCACAAATCCCGCTTGACCAGACCTGGGATCGAACCTGGGCTGCCGTGGTGGGAAGCCAGCGACTAACTGCTTGAGCTATGGTGCGGCCCATGAATGTCCACTAAATGACTTCAGACAAATGGATGCACATTGGAAGTCCAGGGCACAAGAACGAATAAACAAAACTCAAAATACTCCCAACACCTACACAGGACACACATATAGTATAATTGGTCACACATTAGAAGTGCTGCACATTGAGAAGAAAGGCCAATTACTGAACACACTCAAACACTTCCACATATACAATTTAAGCAAACAAAAACTCCAACAGACATACATACACCTGTGTTTGACTGTGTGGTCTAAGGCCTGAAATGTCTTCACCCACTAGAGCACTGGGACAGTGGGTTGAATCCCACTCCAGACATATATATTTGTCTGCATTTATTCTGTGTTTGTATGTAGGTGACAGCCTTGTGACAGGCTGATCCCTCGTCGAAGGAGTCCGATTAAGAAACTGAAGTGAAATGAGTGTTTTGTGGATGCCCTATGCTCCAAGTGGGAGCAACAGGAATAGATGGATGGATGGGGGGGGGTGGATGGGTGGAACATATTCACCATTATAATACACATCCAAATAAAACACCCCCACTCCCGCCCCTATCTAACATAACCACTTCCCCCCTTGAACATCACATGACCCAAGCAACATATCCACCATGACAGTAAATATCAGTTAGTACTAACAGGAACATAAAGAATAATTTCACCACATGTATTCACAACACCACAGAAAGAAACAAGAGAACATATAGAACTTAGCATCTCTTGCATCCTAGTAATCGCCCACATAACATGTAAGTAATCACCAATACTGTACTATATGATTATACATCACTCACAGTTGAAATATACTAGCACACCTTTAGCCTTCTACACATATGTAAAGGATACACCAACTCCCAAGATAAAAACAGTACCCTGTACTCTACAACATATCACCACAGACATTTACTTCACTTCAGAATAATTCCAATGAAAAATTGATTAAAATTAATAAGTAAGTAATGAAAAAATTTAACATTCTGACAGATTTGAAGCAGGGTTTTAACGTTTTAGCTTTTATGACTAATATTACAATTTAGTAACACAATGAGACAGAAATTGATAATGAAATTTATATCAATATAATTACTACTATGGATCCATATTAGAACAGAATTCAGTAATGAGTGATATATCGTGAAAACTGCCAGTTGATGATCCAACTGGATTGAAATATGTAGCAGATACAAAATAGTAAACGAATGTTATTACATTAATATTGGTTTATTTATTTTGAATTTGTTGTGTTGATTGCCACATAGTGATACGCAATAGGATGGATACAATAAAGATTTTCTTCATTAGCCATTGCTTGTTACTCTCTCACAACTTACAACTTGTTGCCCCAACTGTTGACTTTGAACTAACTTGTCCAGTTGGTTCTTGTTACATAACCTTGGGTTGAATCATATAGAAAACATCATCTTTCATAGCAGTGGAATAACAGCTTCTCTGTTATGGTTTGTTGATACATGGTTACGGAGCTGTGTTTACCCAGTTGTTGCCTAGCAGTGACCGTCTTTTTCAGTGCTGTCACAATATTAAGCCGGTGTTTTGTCTATTAATTATTGATTGAAGTCAACATGGAGCATGTTATGAGAATTCATAGAAAATATGATATATTATTAGCATTTCAGTAACATGCCTGATACTAGATGTACCACATAATGGAATCCATGTTTAACCTTTAACGTACGGACTTTTAAATTGCCTGCAGCTCCCTACGGCCGGAATTTAAATGGCCCTAAGTCTTTAACATTGCAAACTTTCAGAAAAAAATGCATATTTTCCGTTCTATGCAACATCGGAAAATGAACTAAAAAGAACCTGAAAGACAATAAAATTTTCTACATATATACAAAANAGTATTTCCTTGCCAGAATATTGATGATCATTTACTCTATTTTTCCCAGGTTCCTGAAGCCTTTGACAAACTAATATTTGGGGTGGAGCATGCAGTGAGGCATGCTATTGAGCAGGAAGAAAAGATACCATTGAGTATGGTAACCAACTTCAGTGAAGTTGTAGCTGACATAAAACGCAAACTTAGTTTACTTCGTGACAATCCCCAGTGTACTGAGAAACCTATCATCTATCACTTGGATGTTGGTAAGGGACAGTCTTTATTGAAGAAAGTATCTCTTATGAATACAAAATATCTGGTGAAGTAATACAAATGGAAGAGGCCTGTGTGAACCTAAATTGGTTTATTCTAGAAAGTAGGTGATTAGTTCTTCCCAGAACTTCTTGTTTACATAACATTATGTGGACATGTGAAGCATGATTTGTGCACGAGTGCAAGTCACTGGCTAGAATTGTCGTGGGGACATTTTCCCAAGCCCCTATCTGTTGCCTGTTAGGCTGACTACCCAATGATATCCTGATGTTTTGGAAACTGTTCTACCTGGTTTCTTGAAGATGTGCCTCAAGCTGTGAGGCAGAGGTTGTTATTTAAATACATTGGAGCTCAAACATTCTATGAGGACGATATCCGGCAGTGGTAGAATGCAACATATCCAGGAGGTGGATTTGATGTTGTTGAGGGCAAATCGCATGGCCTCCCCAGTTTCTGGATCTAATTTGATGTACTTTTTCCTATGATGACACCCAAAGGAGCATGTTTATGCAGTCCTCCCCAGAATATCGAAAGATCTTGTGCCAAGACTTAAAGCAGCTGTGACAATAACTGATGATGTTAAGGCATGTTCAAGAGAATGCTTTGTGGTGCCCAGCTGCCTGCAATAAAATGTATGGAGGCCACTTTGAACACATGACTACAAAGTGCCCAAACATTTGACTGTGACATATATCCTGAAAACTAAACATCACAAGACATGTATTGTACAATATTTCAAACTTGTTTTTGACAAAGAATTGCACTGTGGAGAACTTGTGTATGAATTTTGCTTCGCACCATAAATTTGACAGAACAGAAGTGAGGCATCACATATTTGAAGTTATACAATGTGTAGTTAGACAAAATATCATTGATAATTCAGGAATCAGTTCTGTCAGTCAGTCCTGAGAGGAGTATGAAGGGCAGAGAGAATGACTAGAATTATATTTTCAGGTGCTATGTATCCCAACATTATCCTAACAAACCGCTTGCAGCCATCTGCAATGGTAGATGAGATGGCTTGCGCTGCATGTGACTTCAACAGACCTGGTGCTACGTGCCAACGCAATATGGCATGGATGTGGAGAGGAGAATACAGTGAGTACAGTTGATAGTTGAATTTTACTGTATTTGCATATGTTTTTACAGAATTAACTTAACATACTCTTCTCTAACCTTCGTTGGAAAGTGAAATGTTTCTGGAGTGTTTCGGTAAATATTTGCTGTGGGTTTCTATTACCTATCATTGATTATCTTGTTTGCGAATTAACTACAGTGCATGTAGGCTAAATGTCAGAGAAATAATCATTTGTATAGTGTCCATATCATCTCTTAACATGCTTGAATGATTCATTTGTGTCTGTTGTGGATTCCGCTCCTATTGTCGTGCGAGACCTCTTCAGAGTTTTGCTTTTATGATCTTTGTATTCACCATACTTGAAAGTTCCCTCTCCCTCCTACCATCTCAGTCCTTTTTTGCAACAAATTCTTAGTAACCACATTGTGGAACAGTCTGACACAGCTGGTTGTTTTGCATTTGGGTTTAGCAGCATTTTCTTACTTGATATAATTTTTAAATGTTCTAAGGTTTCCTTCAATATTTCTAAATGTCTGCAGTTGTTATATTAACTATAATTATGGAGAAATAAACATGTGCTATTTTAAAAGACATTCAGAAGCATGCATGTGGGGTAACCATGAATGCTCTGGGACATCACTTTTAGATATGAGCACACCTAAAATGGTGCGCTCATGCTCAATTTATAAAAGCAAAGCTATGCAAAGTAATTTATATGGTGAAAATATTAAAATAAATAATGAGTCCACATATGATAAAAATTATTATTTTTTAAATTTTGAGTCATGTATGAGAAATGGTATCTTATTGTGGCATGAGGATGGGGAAAGTAAAAGCATTTTTAAATTGCAAAAGTGGGTTCTTCAAGTGATTAGTGGTATTAGTAGTCGCACGTCATGTAGACAAATTTTTAAAGATTATAATATTTTAACATTGCCTTCTCTGTATATATTGGAGGTGACATGCTTTATCAAAAAATACAAGGCTTTTATGGCAATAAATTCAGACATTCATAATTATAACACACAAAGAAAATTAAATTTTCATGTACAGCACTAATACAGCTCTTTTTAAGAGGAGTGTGATAAATATGGGAATTAGTTTGTATAATAAGGTCCCCAATCAAATAAAACAAAGGGAAAATTTTAACTCGTTTAAAAAGAAATTAAAATTTTTTGCCGAAATATTCCTTTTATTCTGTAGATGAATTTATGTCTTGATTCATCAAGTGTGTAAATGTAATATGTAGCTGATTAATTTGTTGTATTTGTGTAAAGATAATGAAATTAATGGTAACTAGATCTAGATAATATTATTCAGATGACAAACCCCCTATATTAGGGTGGTACAGTGTATACTGTAAAGATATGCATGAGAATTAGATGTAAAACTGACAATTTCCTTATCCAAATGGTNTTTTTTGCCAAAACATTCCTTTTATTCTGTAGATGAATTTATGTCTTGATTCATCAAGTGTGTAAATGTAATATGTAGCTGATTAATTTGTTGTATTTGTGTAAAGATAATGAAATTAATGGTAACTAGATCTAGATAATATTATTCAGATGACAAACCCCCTATATTAGGGTGGTACAGTGTATACTGTAAAGATATGCATGAGAATTAGATGTAAAACTGACAATTTCCTTATCCAAATGGTTGGAATACCTGTATGTATGGATTGTTGAATGATAATAAAAATGAAATGAAATGAAATTAAATATCATGTATGAGTAACATTGTTCACTGGAAAACCAGCCCTTCAGCTGCTCTTGATGAAGCTGAATGATTGCTCAGTTATTTGGCATAAGAAATGTGATACTTTACATAGATTCTGGTTTCTAATAAGAATGAATAGAGTAGAAAAGGAAATAATATATGTCCACATTATATGCTGTTTATAGGTATCTGTTCCAATTCTGTCTTCCATTACTGCAGGTATCTAACATTTTTATATGTCAGTGTTACTTTGTATTTGATAGTAACAGCAATCTTCCTGGGTGGTAAAGGGCGGCCTGTGCTTAAGGCTGCCAAACTTACTGCTTTCTGTGAGCTGATTGTCTAGAAAATATGGGAACCTCAACGTCTCACCCTATGGGCCTCCATGGTCTGTTACAGGGATGGGTTTACATTTTTTTTTTTATGTCCATGCTTATTAAAATGTTTTCTTGTATACCCGCTTGGCAATTAGATTTAAATTCTTAACAGTGCCTGCCAGTCGTAGTGAGTTCCAGCGAATCCGGCAGCAGTTGGAAACTGAGAAGTTCCCACCATTGTTTCCTGGTGGACCTAACAGAGCATTCCATGAAATGAGTCAGGAGGATCAAGCAGCTTATGAGAAGAAACGTTTATCAGAGTACTGTCGTAAAGCATACAAGAAAGTTCATGTGACACGGACAGAAGAGCGATACACAACTATCTGCCAGAAAGAGAACAGTTTCTATGTGGATACTGTTCGTGCATTCAGAGATCGGCGCTATGAATACAAGGGTTTATCTAAGGTATGATTTCTTGTTTTTGCATTTGCTGTTATAAGTTTCAGTTAAAACAATCACTATGTGTTTTACATGGATTTATATAATAGGATTAACGTTTTTACATCACTAATAGTGTTGTGCAGTTGTTTTTATGTTGGGTAATGCAGACTGTGTTGGCTTTGCTTTGTTTCACTCTCTGTTGATGCAGAGTTCAAGGCTCATTAAAAAAATAGAGAGCACTGAAGCAAAAAATGTGACTGGAGAAGCTGCACTCTTAGGCTATATTTATTATTATAATGCCACACAACAAAAGCACTGTATGATGTACAGTTCTTGTCAGCTCAAGGCAGGTTTTCACAAGAATAAAGAGAAATAATCTTACACTGTAGATTATTTAGAAATATGAACACAAAGTTATGTTAATTGCGTGGAAAACTAATGCTACATTATTGAAAAGCTGTGAAACTGATTGACTCGTTTGGTTGAAAACTATCAAATAAAGTTTTATTTCTTATGATATTCCAACATTAAGTTTCTTCTGAATCCTAAAAACACTTGTATGTTATTCAGAATTTGAGTTTCATGTAAAGTGGTGGAATGTAAAATCCCAGTGCTTAAGCTCATCCCATGAATATGTATGGCACATACAGGTAAAGCTTCACACATTTTTAACCTCAGCACTGGGCGGAAGCCAGTGACAACTTCATGCTTCAGCCACTTACCCACAAGGAAATATGTACAGTGGTAGACCAGTAAACCTACTATATTCTGTCAATCTGATGTTTCACAAAGAGAGCCAGAGAAACGTTTTTTAGTACAGAATGGAAACATAATGGATACAGTTTTTCAATCTGAAATTCAAAATTGGGCATAATCGATCTAGCAAGACATCTGTCAATAGTTTGAAATGTCAACTATTTAAACATTCATAGTTATTGTGTTTCTGAAAGTATCAAATAATCTGCTGTAAAATGATTCCATGTGGTTTTTCTAGTCACAGGTACCAAGTATCCCTCCTTTCACCTATTGCCAATTGTAGATTACTTCCATTTATATCCAGTTTTATCAGTTGTTGTTTTTGGTTTTATGTATCCAGTATGTTTCATTCATATATGCACAGAAAGAACTGATGACTTCTGCTCCAGGAGATCAACCCGTGCTGGGGGAAAGGCCATAATGGCATCTGAAACCAATCTTCTAGCCATCTAATTACTGTTTCGGCACATTTTCTTGTGCCATATTTTATAATTTATGATCAGTTAATTTTTAAACATGTTATATAGTTTGTGAACCGGTAATTAAGCTTAACAGATTCTGACAGCATTGAAAATACACTGAAGTTGCTAAACATAATTCAACATAAAACTGTATAATAATCAAAATTTTATTCTAATATTTCAGATGGCAAAGAAGCAAGTAGCACAAGCTCTGGCAAAAGGAGATGCTGGTGAAATAAAATCTGCAAAGAACAGAGAAATTCTGTATGATTCCTTGCAGTTGGCTCATAAGTGCATCCTCAATTCTTTTTATGGATATGTCATGAGAAAGGGGTATGTAAATGATCTAAATAAATTGTAATGTATTGTCACGTGTTTCGTTGGTTACTGAAGACGCCGTAGAGATGGTTAATTGGTTTATTTGACAATCTCTAAATAACGGCTACAATTACTTATCTCACAGTTGCGGGGTTTCACACTTTATAACCCTAATCGCATTAATCTATTAACA